ATTTGAGTTGGCTTTCAGTCAGGCATTTACCGGGTGATTATAGGGTAGCAGAGAAATATTGTATATACATTTCTTATGTAATAAGTTCCTCTCTCTAATGCCATTATGTTTCTCTTCTTACTACCCTGATTATATTACATATTGAGAGCCAGCCCCCAAAAAATGACAGCAAACTTTGTTCTGGATAATGGAGTGCTGGACTCCACCTAAGCAGCTCCAGTCATTTGTAATGACAGCTTGGAGAATACTCCAAAAGAATCTAACAATGCTCACGCTCCAGTGACTGACAGCACGGCAAGAGGAAAAATTCCAGCTTCCATGTGAGTGCAGGGAGCCTGACCTAGATTTTAGCCTCTACAGCTTCATGAGAGGAAACATTCTTGACTGTGTATTTAACAAGAAAAAAAAGAGTGAGGGGAAAAAAGTAATCTCCTGTTTGATTAGTCTTTCTTCGATAATTAAGATTTAGTCAAGGCGGTCTGTGAGACTTCTCCCCTCCGCAGATGTCATCAACCCTGTAATGAATGGTTGCTCCGTTCCTTGTGTGCTCTCCTCTGTAATTACCACCTCCTGACATGCTGCAGGGAGGGAGCTCTTGCAGGGGAGCAGCTGGGGCAGGCTGGGGCAACGGGCAGGCACAGCTTGCCTGCACCTTCCCCTCCGCCAGGCTCCCTGTGTTGAGGTCAGCCTTGCTGTGGGCTGCTGAAATTCTTCCATTTGAACACTGTTAATGGGAAAAGGGTCTCCTGTGTAAATTTCCTTTTCTTTAATTTCTTCTTTGAGATGCAAATGCTGTGCTGGGCTCAGGTCACTGTGCCCAGTGCCCACTAGAACACTGGCAGTGGCCAACAGAGCACCAGCACCACTGTCTTGTTCTCCTCTGGGGGCAACTAGAGATGGGTTTTAGCCACTCTAGTGACCTGCTTGTAAATAATCTTTCAAATGCCTTTCATCTCTTCCACTTCAACAAGTCAAATTTTAAAAATAAAACAGTGGAGAAATGCACACTAGAAGGGAGAAGAAGTTTTCAAATCAAAGTAGAAGATGAGAGAGATTGAATGACACTGAAGGATGATTAGCATTAATTTGAGCTGTGCTTCGACAAGTTGTTTGATGTGGATGTGGGAGAAATTTTATTGGAATCAGAGGCATTTTCAGCTTCCAAAGCTGGATTTCCATATTGGGTCAGTACCTGACTCCACAACTCCTCCTAATTGTGACTCTGCTCTGTGAAATAAATGAAAAACTGGCACCATTCTGCTTGACCCTCAAGCTTTCCATATGTGTCTGAATGTCAGTTATTCCTTGCTGTGGTTTAACTTTGCTGAACCAGCACAGGTTTGAAAGCATTAGGTGATGTGACAGGATTCGATTGACACAAGATTGACAGGATTAATTAGTCTGGATCTGAATTCCAGTTCTGGGCATCCCTATTCATTTCAGCTTAGGCTTTTGTGCCTTTGCTAAAGTGCAGGAGGAAGGGTGCCTTTGAGAATATCTGTGTGTCGTGGAGAACAAGAGATGAGCCATCTGGAGAGCTCAGCATTGCCTTTCACATCCCTCACTGAGAGAAAGTGACTGTGAGCTCTGCACTGCTCCTTAATTGTAAATCACACCAGCCTAAAGAGCAGGGCTTATAAAAAGCACAGAGTTTTGTGAGGAAGCTCTGTATGGAGTACAATGATACCTGCTCGATGTAAAAGACTTCAGTCCATTCTATAAAATAATTCATGGTGTCAGAACCAGGCTTTAACATAAAAGTGGATTGGATGGGGTTGTAGGACTGGGAGAACCAGCTCTGCTGCTGGTTGCCCATGTCTGTGTAACAGTGATGCAGAGAGAGGACAGTGGGGTGTTTCCTGGAGTCCTGACAAGGGCGTGTTCAAGTTACAACGTGCAGCTTTGGTCACAGTGAAGGATGTTATAAACCTGGAGGGGGTGCACTGAGAGCAAATACTTCTGTGCAGAATTTTCAATTAATTATTATCCAAACTTGTCCTGTTGTGTGTGGCACTAAGTGTGAGAGGGCAAACACAGAGGAAGCAGTGATGCTGCTGCAGCAGCGAGGAAAACGAAAGTCAGTAAATTGCTGATGGCCCTTCAGTTGATGTCATTAACAGCAGCTGTTAAAAGCAAGAAGCAATGAATTTTAGTTTAAATCAGCGGGATGTTTTCATCAAAATGAAAATGAAAATTGAAGTTATTCAAAACTGTGTGTACGTAACTTCAGGTGAAGGATTTGATTTGGGGACTTTTCTTGATGAGAAGTCAGCTGGCACAACCAGCTGCTGTGTTTGCACCTGCCAGCAGGATAGGGGCAGGAGCAGGTAACACCCTGTGGGTAAAGGTTTCTGAGACCTCCCTTTGCCTGCCAATACCCTCGTGACCGTAGGTGCATAACATAGGTTTGAGTATTGGGTTTCCCTTCCCTCCTGAGCTTATGCTAGTTTGGGTTTTTTTTACAAATAACGTTTGTTTTGCAATAAGATGTTACATGGAAGTTATGTATCAGAAAAATATGAAAGTGGTGAGTGTCAACAGGTTTAAAATATGGTTCAGGTGCATGGCTCATGTGATCACAGTACAGTTAAAGCTGATTTATAGCAATGGGAAAATTAAAACCCTCCACTTATCACAGATACTTTTGAATGATGGAAGAGAAACCTGAAAAGATGTCAGACATAATTTAAAGGCTGTAAAAACTGCTAAAAAAAGGACCAGACCTGATATTTCACCATGTGTAGAAATTTTGGTTTGCTGCATTTGTTTAGAAAGTAAATTAAAAAATAACTTGAAGAGTGCATGCTATTGAAGATGTATATGAAATGAAGATTTATAGTTTGAGAATTAACACTGTAAATGCAGAAGAGGCAAATTGAGCATTACTTGGTTGAATTTGAGGTAGCTGCATAAAGGGTAAAGATGCTCCACTTACTTGTAGCTGAATATGATAAAAAAATTCTGAAAACTACATATTTAATCAAGTCTATTAATTTTAGGTAATGTGTTTGCCTATTGATGATCTGCCTTTGAATTCTTTGTCCTTGGTTATGTTCTTGGTTGACTTTCAAACTTACAATTTTTCCAACAATGAGAAAGATTGAACTAGAAGGTCTCTGATAATTGAGGGGGGAGTTACACATGGATAAGTATTCGTGTTCTAGGCTTGTATTGTAACTAAGATAATAATAAAGGGAGAAAAAATTGTAGGGAGAAGTAATCTTTTATTTAACTGGCTGACATATATTAATTTTACAAGTGAAATATCAAGAAAACTGTTTCAAAAATTTTTGCTGAACAGAACATCAAAAGATCTCTTTTCTTGTTTGTACAACTCCTGTATTAATCTTGATTGTACAGGCAGCAAGTAGTAATTGTATCCTGTTGTATGTAATACACATCTCTACAGTGTGAGTAGGCTGTAGAAAAGAAAAAAGTTCTGTGGAACTGCCTCGAAAAGAAAATGATAAATGTCACATCTGTTATTTGGGGTTTTTTTGCATAACGTAATTAGCAGAGGTGGATGGAAAAGTTTTAAGGGATAAGATTGGCATTAGATGCCAATGTACATTTTCCTCCAACAACAAAATAAAGATTTCAAAACTGGTTTACAGAGGCAAATAGTTAAGGTGAAACATTTAGTTTATTTAATAAAAAATTAGTGCTTTGGAGATGAAAGTAATGATATTCTAAAGAAGTGTTCAGCGCCTCAATGTGTTCTATTTATTGCCTGCAAATTCACAGTTACATGTAATGAGAAAAGGTGTATGAAACCCTAATTGCCAATAGTTGCTTTATGTTTTTCGTATTGCCATAAAACAAAGGTTCTTTTCTTTTAGTGTATTGCATTGTATTTCACAAGCGTCCTTGAACTATATTGAAAAATATATCTGTGTCTAATATTTCTTTATTATTGTTTTGCTTTCAGTTGATGGTTGCATTGACTGGTCAGTGGATCTCAAGACATACATGGCTTTGGCAGGTGAACCAGTCCGAGTGAAATGTGCCCTTTTCTACAGCTATATCAGAACTAATTATAGCATGGCCCAAAGCACAGGTCTTAGGCTTATGTGGTACAAAAACAAAGGAGATTTAGAAGAACCCATTATATTTTCCGAAGTTAGAATGAGCAAGGATGAAGATTCCATATGGTTTCACTCGGTTGAGTTGCAAGACAGTGGTTTCTACACATGTGTTCTAAGGTGGGTATTGTGTTAAAGTCTAAGTAAGAATGTATGGATTGTCTTGGTTAAAAATATGTTTAATTTTAGCTATCAGGATCGAGATATTCATCCAGCTAATACATAATCATTTTTATTCTCATAATTATATATGTCACATAATGCTTTGTCTCAAAATTAGTTTCCCTAGTAATTATAGTTACCTTGTCCAATAGCTGTAATTAATGTGCTTTCACTTAATTACTTCTTTTTTTAAGTCCAACATTTGCAAATTCTCAATTTGCCATAAATCTTCAGAACTTGATACTTCTTAAATCATGAAGTATTTTGGTTAAGTAATGTTCTCTTTCAAATCCTCTGAGTTATTCAAAAGTTACAGTTTGAATTATTCTGATGGGGTTAGGCCATGGGGAGTTACAGTTCTGTCTGGTTTTGAAGAAATGTGTATTTTAATATACAGTTATGATTTGTCATAAATTTGAGCAGACCTCGTTTGGTAAGGCACCAAAATGCATGTCTCAGAAGTATTTTGGAACTGTTGGATGAGCCTTAAATTAAACATGTGCTGGAGCTCGTGATTTTTATCATGTGGATGTTGATGTCAGCTCTATGCCTAAAACGAGAAGATAAAAAAAGGAGAATTCTTTAAGAATGAATGAATAAATATTCCTTAAATGATCCAGTTCTGAATTAAACGGAGTTTGCAGATACTTTATATGATTTGGTTTTAAACTGTTGAGTTTCAGAGAATGAGGTTTGCGTTGTCCTTCTCTGCTGTCCCATACTGAAATCAAACATGTTTGATGAATTTAATATCAAATATTGCAGCAAAGTAACAGGACTGTTCAGAACCCAGAATTTGCTCTCTCTCCATCTCTGCTGACTTGCTGTCTCAGCTGCCTCAGACCATTTTGATCCCCAGGAACGCTACTGAAATCAAAGATTGTGCCGTGGGGCCTGGTGGTTCTACTGGGCACCAATGTCCAGTTTAAATATCAGATGCATCTGCCAAACTTACCATTAAGTCTCTGTGGCAGCCTTTGGAGTTATTCTTTTATTAGCTGCTCTGTCACAGGTTGGGTGTGCTGTGAACTCCTTGATTTTGAAATGTTACGGTAAGATGGTGATTTACATGTCTCGAGGGAGCTGTCCTTTTTTCATAAGAAGTCACTGTTGTGATAATCAAGTTACTAGTTTAATACTCTGAATATTTTTAATGCAAATCCTTTGTGAACAATGAAGAATTGATCTTGGATCAAATTCTGGGACATACTTTTTTCCAGGAAATTTCAAAACTCTGCTCATTTACATGACAAAGTAGTTTTGGTAACAAATGGGCAAGTTCTTGAATAATTCATGGCTTCTCCTCATTGTCAGCTAAAAACTGTATGACATGCTTCTTGGAAGGCATTATACAGCAACAAGATCTTCCTTGTCAGTTATGCAGTTTTCCTGCTTTGACTAGAACTTTCTTATATAATTACAGATATTTTTGCCTTTTTCATATTTATGTCAGAGTGCAGAATATTATGTGTGGTGGTTACAGATAAAAGACTATATTTCTTCCTTTACTGAATTATTTTTTCTTCCAAAAATGGGGTAATGTATCCTTGCTGTTACTGTTTATGAAACTCTGGGTGGCTTAAAAAAGCAGAGGAAATAGCAATAGTAATTGATTTTAATATCATTAAAATTGAGCTAGATGTTATGTTCTGAAATGATGATCACACTTTTGTGGGAGACTATCCACATCATTGACTGTGTAATTTCAGCCTTATTAATCCATTTTTTGGAGGGGGATAAGCAGATGTTTGTGTTTTAGTCATTAACCAGGATCACCTGCTTTATGAGAATTAAGAGGTCACAAATGAGAACAGTAATTTTAGAATATGATTTTATTTTCTAGAAGCATTAACAGTTTCTGTTACAAATGCTGTCTTTTGTAGACTGAGTGTACAGAGATAGAACTCGATGCAGTGGAAATGTGTCCATCAGTGTGCAACACTGGGTTTAGGGTTGCACGCATAGTTGAATCTTTTGGTTTGGTAGCTGAAAGAAAAACATTGGGGAGAAAAATGCTTTTGATTCAAGATAAATTTAAAACTTCTGAAGTGTTTCTCAAGAAAGAAGTTTTCATTTAGATTCTCTAAGAGAAAATCAGGATCAATTCAATTCTGAATTGATGTCTTTCTAGCCACTCTCTAAGGATGGGTGAAGCCCTGGTGCAATTCCCTGTGCTATCCAAAGGGTCAAGTCCCACATTTGCATGTCCCAGTGGCCAGGCTGTGCTGAGTTCCACCACTTCAAGTCTCTTGCCTTAGAACTGCTCTGTCTGTTATTTGTACTTGTCTTTGCAAAAGTGTGCAAAGTGAGATTTTTGGATGTGGTGCTAAGACCAAGGGGAGACAAGGGATCCTTGTCCCAGAAGCAGTTTATGCCTTGAAAGAAAGGACAGTCTCGAGCTGTGAAGATCTTTTCTGATAAAAGGGAATTGAACACCAAGGCTTTTCAGTAAGTTGTACGTAAAGGATATCACAGGCAATAGTGAGAGCTTTGCTAATTCACTCTCCCCCAACTTGTTACTTTTTTCCCAGTCAAGACAACATGACAGATAAAAAAACTGTATGAGAAAAATGTCAACTGCACTTTTCACTGAATTTCTTATTTGTTTAATGTCTTCACAACTCTATAAAAAACCCCAAACCTATTTTTCAAGAAGCTGCATTATCTGATTGGTCACGTGTGCTTGTAGGATCAAGGCACGAGTATCAGTGAAGCAACTGGAAGGAATTTTTCAGAAGTTGCTTGAAAAGGGTGGGTATGAGCAGGTGAAGGATAGGCTGATATGACAGTGATTTGGAGATGGGTAAAAATTAAATGTGTCAGTTAATTCTTTCTTATACAGAATTGTCATCTCAATAATCATAATGTCTGTTTTGTAAAAGAACCTGTAATACTGAATAAAATTAAGGAGTATTAGACCAACCATAATAAGAGGTTGCTTCTCCAGGCTGAAAAGGTCTGATATCATAATTTAAATGTTTCCTCTCCTTTATTAACCGGTTAGACATTGTTGCTTAGACAGATGTGGGGGTGTGTGTATAATAGGAGGAAGTTATTGTTGCATTAAAACCTACTTCTCCCTTCTCACAATACATTTTAGCATTGAGCTGACACTCAAATGCAAACCAAAGTGTGGTATTTTTCTCCAGTGTTAAGCATGGATATAACATATTAAAGGGTCCTAATTCTGCAAGGACTTTTAAGGAAGTGGAGAGTTGAGCTGTGTTAGCTAATCCATGTGAATTCCATGAATCTGCTTTGTTCTTGGGTGCCTTTTCTGTGTAAAATCAGAGATTTGGATAAATCTGTTTTTCATTGCATCATTGGTATCATGACTTTATTGCCCAATAGGGAAATGCTGTTTTCTGGAGGTCTCTTTGCAGTACAGGCCCTGGATATACCATTAATCTTCCAGCACCCAGCAATGCTACTTTCAGATAAAGCTGTCAACATTTCTTTTACAGATTTTTGATGTTCTGGGATGTTCACATCAGCACTCTGGATCACAGCTTCTTCACTGAAGCATTCAGAGATAAGCACTCCAAAACCAAACATGGAAACTCAACCAGATCTAAATGCATAGGGTGGCCCTAAAGTTCTGAGTATGTAGGACAGTCATTTGCCAGATCATGTGCTACTTTTTCTCTCTGAACAAATACATCTGTTTTTCTGTGTTAAAAGCCTGTTTTTTAAGAGGGAACAAAAACTGGGACAACTTAAATCTTAACCTGGTAAAAGAAGAGAATATAAGATGGGGAAGAAATCTCAGCAAGTTTAGCCCAAATTTGCCCTCATCAAGGGACTGCTCCTGGAAACCTTTCTTCTAACTAGTCCTAGCTCCAAGAGAAACTCTAGTGAGCATTTAAAGAATAAAACCAGTAAGACTAAAAATATTAGTGCACATTTGCTGTTAATTAACTGTTGGTGAAATAAAATAACTCGATTCCCATAATGTGAATCAGGAGGGTAGAAAGTCTGGGCCTTCAGTGGGTGCAGGGAAGCAGGGGGTGGAGGTTTGTGGTCGCCAGACTGGCTGATGGAGCTAAGCCTTGATTTTTGTACAGGTTGCAGAATAAAAAGGGAGTGAAGGCCTTGAATGCCTATGAGGGAATAAGTTTGCAGATCTTTAATACCAGCATTTGATGCCAGAGAACTGCCGACAAATCAAGTTAGGAAATCTGTGTATCCTTTTTCCTTTACTGTGTCCCTGTCTGCACAGTTCTTAATGGAGAGCAGCATTGGTATGGACATGCACAGAAGAATTGAGCCTTTGCTGAGCCATTGGTGAAATACTGAGATATTACTTTCTGAGCAGTAATAAAATAGACCAATAGTAGATTTTAAGCCTTCTGGCTTCTGAATGTCTGTGGAGCACATGACCAGCAACTCCAAATCAGATTTTGGCAGCCTGGAGGGGCTGGCAGTAAAACTTCATCTGTGGCACAACCTCTGTGCTCTCACTTCAGAGGGTGTTAGGGGGAGCTGAAGGGCTTGTTTCAAGTGCCTACAACCTGGACTGCAGAATGCACCCATCATCCCAGGAGAAGCTGCACCATTTTCTGAGTGCTGAATGTCTGGTTTTGGACCCAAAGAAAGGCCAAACAAGAACACTGAACTAAATCATGATGTAAAAATCTGCAGGGGTAAGGTTGCTTTCTCTGCAGCCATCTCTCATGGTATTTGCAATATGTGTTTTAATACAGTTGTTAATTTTGTTGGTGGCAGTACAGACCGTTTCATTTTCAGTTCCTTTGGCTTTATTCAGTGCTCACCTGCTCATGACAAAGATGATTTTGTATCTCAAATCCCTTCAGATGCAGTGTTGTAATTCCAGTGGTCCCAGGCATGTCTATAGAAGCAGCTACATCTCACATTTGGAGCAACTGCATTCAGCACAGGCTTCCCAGGCTCTGTATGACACTAACATTAAATGTCACACATTAAAAGTGTGTGACATT